CTGTCAAATTACCGAAATAAGTTGTAAAAAGCGCTGAATAACAGCGACGATTACGACGCGTAACACATTTTTTCCCCCTATTCATTTATATTCGCTAACTGAATTAGGTTGAACAATGCCGATTAAAAAATACTAAAAAAATGGAAAGGGAAAGCAATTTTTTCATCAAAATGACTGGCATTGAAATTTTTCCTACGAGAAAAAACGAAAAAAAGTAACGAACAAAACAAGTGACCAAACTAAAGTTTGATTTTAAGACCATAGTTGAATTTGCAAACAAAAAAAAAAACCAAGCCAACGTTACAGCACCGAAATTGTCCATTGAGAACTAAGTTTGTCAACCCGAAGGTATATAAAAACATGCCTCCCCAAAAAAAAGAACTTCTTTTTTTGAGTCAAAACTCTACTGAGAAATTAAACTAACGGAAAGGTTGACAAAACTTCGAACATTTTTTGGTCTGGTCCTCAGCCAGAAAAAACCTTTTGACTGGCAATGCTGTCGATTTGTTTATTTGCCTGTTTATTTGTTTACTTGTTTGTTCATCCGTTCATATACGGAGTAATTCACCTCTTCTGTTTTTCAGACATGCTTTGAATTTGCCACATCTCTTCAACTGAAGACTGCTTGGAAAAAGCGGATTTTTTTAAATAGGATTATGCTCTACTCCAACTAAACATCGGAAAATACCAGCCAAAAATTTTAATTTTTCTATAAAAAGACATTAAAAATTTATTGCTTTGTATAAACGTTACCAAAATGAACAAAGAAAGGAAAGGAAAAAGTGAATGAGAATGACGGATCTTTCTTCCTTATTTCTTTCCGTTTAAATGGTTAATGGTAAACGAAGTTTGTAAATCCAAAAGTGCCTCAAATCTGTGATAAATTTGCGAACAATCACCGTAGAAGGGAGATGGGAGACGGAACAGTGAGTAGCGGGAAGGAATCGGGGGAAAGATGGGGGAACGGGGAAGAGACTAAAAGATGCGGGGGCTGTAAACGAAGTATAAGGAGGAAAAAATGACTAAAAATAAGCTGGGCCCACTTGGAAGCAACATAATTTATTCGCTTGCAAACTAATAGCTTCAACATCTTTTTTTTTTTTTTTTTTTTTTTTTTTTTTTTTT